TGAATACCAATGGGATATCACCAGCCAAATCTAATCCCATTAGAATGTTGGCTGCTCCATTCAACCGGGAGCTCCTCGAGGGGAGCCATCTGTTTTGGCCTTTCTCTTAGTCCACAGAGCCTAGCACAGTGCCTGATACCTAGCAGGTGCTTCATAAATAATTGTTGTCTGACTCTCCATGACCCCATTTGGGGTTTTCTTGGCATGGATACTGGAGCGGTTTGCCGTTTCCTTCTCCAGATTATTTTAAAGATGAGGAAATTGAAGCAAACAGGGATAAGGGACCTGCCCAGGGTCACACAGTTATCTGAGGTCACATTTGAACTCAGTGCTCCTGATTCCAGGTCCAGTGCTCTATCCACTCACTAAGCCACCCAACTGTCTCCAAATACGTGTTGACCAACCAACTAATGACCACTTCTCAATCTTCATGCTTCTTGGCTTTCTCTGCGTGTAGTCAACATTGTTGCTAAGCTTTTCTTCCTAAGGACTCTCTCCTCTCTGGTTTCATGACCCAGCTCTCTCGGTTCTCCTACCTAATTGCTCCTTTTCAGTATACTTTGCTGGACTTTCATCCATCTTCATGCACTAACCGGAAGGCTCTTCCAAGGCTCTGCTGTGGGCCCCCTTCTCTTTTTGCTGTATATTATCTCACTCACTGGTTTCACCATCTCCCATGGGTTCAATTATCATCTCTATGGAAAGGATTTCCAGGTCTATATATGCAGCCCTAGAGTCTTTCCTGAGCTCCAGGTCCCAAGTCACCAACTGTCTATTGAACATTTTAAACTGGATTTTTATAGGTATTTCAAATTCAACTTTCCAAAGAAATTTATCTTTCCCCACAAACCTACCCCTCTTCTGACCTTCCCTATTACTGTTGAAGGCACCGCCATCCTCCTAGCCAACCAGATTGGCAAGCTCCTTGCCATCCTCGGTTCCTTGCTCTCCCTGTTCATCCATAAGCTCTTCATAACTCCCTCCCCCACACACACCACCCAGCCAAACTGGCCTTCTCTGCTCCTAACACCTTCTCATCCCCATGCCTTTGCCCTGGCCGTCCCATGCGCCTGCAGAAACTTGATCGTCACCTCCACTTCACGGAACCCTTCTCTTTCTTCAAGGCTCGGCTCAAGCATCACCTCCTACCTCAAGCCTTTCCTGATCCCCACTTGCACCTCCTCTGCCCCGCCTCAACTGCTAGAGTCTTTTCTCCAAAACTACCTGGAATTGAACTACTTTGCATTGATTTATGTTTGTTCTGGATGTTTCTTCTATAGATACAAATATAGTCTTATTTCACACGCACGCATATGTATATATGTTGTCTCCCTGATAGAACGTAATCTCTTTGAGTACGGGGTATATTTCTTATCTCTGATTGTCTTCCCAGCTCCTAGTACAGTAGCAGGCGCATAGTAGGCCCTTAACGTGTCATAATTGTTGATTGACTAATTTATCTGTTCTTATATGTGTTGTCTCCCCCATTAGAATGTAAACTTTTTGAGAGCAGGGACAGATTTTCTTTTTTCTTTTTTCTTTTTTTTTTTTGCTTTTTCCATGTGTCCTTAGCACTGAGCATTGTGTTCTGCACACAGTAAATGCTTAATCAAGGTTTGCTTGATTGACTAATTAATGGAGCACACAGGTTCTCTATAATTGCCCCTTGTTCTAACTCCTTATCCTGATAGAAGGCTGACTCCAGGCCTTGATGCTGCCCTGTCCCCATCTTCTATTTGGGACTTTGGGGAGATAGATAGACAGACAGACAGATAGGTAGATAGACTGACAGACAGATAGATAGATAGACAGACATTTAGATGGATGGAAGGACAGATGTATGGATAGACAGATAGATGGACAGATAGATGAATGGATGGATGGAAACATGGATAGATAGATAAATAAATGGATGGATGAATGGATAGACAGATGGATGGACAGACAGATGACAGATGGATGGATGGACAGATAGATGGATGGATAGATAGACAGGTAGGTAGAACATTCATTTAACACTTAACTATGTGCCAGGAACTGTAGTAAGTGCTAGGGACATAAATAAAAGCAAGTAAGACAGTCTCTGCCCTCAAGGAGCTTACATTCTATTCAGAAAAACAACACGTACATAACCAGAGTGTCCCAAAAGTCTTAGTGTGATTATAAGCCATTAAAGCTTAAAACTGCCCTTTGGGACACCCTGTATAAGTCTGTATAGAGTGAAGGAGGTATGTTGGGTGAGCCTTGAGAAATAATAACAGCAACCATTTATATATGGTGCTTTAAGGTTTGTCAAAGACTGTACATATATTATCTCATTTAAGCCTCACAGTAATCCTGTGATGTGGGTACTGCAGTCATTATTATCATGTCCATTTTACAGATGAGGAGACTGAGGCTCAGACAGGTAAATTTACTTTTCCCAAAATGTCCAAGGAAGTCCAGCACTCTCACCATTGCATCATGCTGTGTGAAGTCATACAATGAAGGCAGGGTCTTGAAAGTCACCCCACTCTATACCTTCTGCCTCTCCAGACTTCTTCCCTTGATTTAAAGGTCTGAATGGGACTCTCTGGCTCTTCTGAGTTGTTATTCTTAACTCCCAATGTGTTGCTGTGTTCAGAGAATCACAGAGTGTCTGCTGTGCACTCCTAATCCCAGGGGGGTGGCCCTCATGCCAGAGGTCTCCTTAGCGTCCAGCGGGCCCTGCACAACTGCACCCGGACTGCTCTGTCTGATACCCCAGGGGTCAAATCCCTGCCTCTTTGGGCAGAGGAGGAAGGGGTGCAGGGATAGAATAAGCCATGCTACGGATCAGATGGGTAGAAATTCACAGGCTAAGGTCATAAGATAATAGATTCAGAGCTGGGAGGGACCTTAGAAACCATGTGTTCCCACCTGCCTTGTCTTACATGTAGTGAGACACTGATGCATTTATCCCACTTCCCATAGCCATGGGTCAGGGTCCCCAAAGCAAGGTTCCATTTCCCTCTCGGGGTTCTGAGGGTACTGGATATATCTTTCTCTAATGCTATCGGGTCAAGCCCCCATTCCAGTGTGTTCCCCCTAACTGGAACTGCCAATGATTAGTGTCCCAGGTTTATTTAGCCAATTAGCATCTATTAGCTTTTACAAAGAGATTTTTATTGTGAAGATACAGGAAGAACAAAAGTTACAAGGCAATCCTCACCCCTCATCTCTGGAGGGCACATTCTCCCCTGTATCACCTTAGTCCCAGGGAAGAGGGATCTCAAATTTAAATTAGGAAAGGAAGGGAATAAGCATTTATATAGCACCTATGTGCCCAGCACTGTGCTAAGCACTTTACAATTATTATCTCATTTGATCCTCACAACAAGCATGTGAGGTAGGTGTTGTTATAGCCCCCATTTTACAGTTGAGGAAACTGAGATAAGACAGCGGTGATGTGTCTCGCCTGGGGTCACCCAGCTAGGAAAATCTGAGGCTGGATTGGAGCTCAGTTCTTACTGAGGGGAGGCCCAATGCTTGTGCACTATAGGGGCTTCAAGTAGCTTCTCTATAGCATTCTCTCCACCAAGTTCACTTCTAGATTTGGCAAAGCCAAGGGATGAAATCACTGTAGCTCGTACTCCACAGCATTCAGTCTATGCTAAGTCCAACTTTGGACTTACTGGCTTCTGGTAAATCCCAGCCTGGATGTGGGCTCTGGGACTCCTGGTGGCAGAGATGCACTGCTAGGGCAGCTAAGCGACAAAGTGTCTAGAGTGCCAGGCCTGGAGTCAGGAAGACCCGAGTTCAAATGTGACCTTAGACACCAGCTGTGTGACCCTGGGCAGCTCACTTCACCCTCTGTGTCCCAGCTTTCTCATCTGTAAAATGAGCTAGAGTAGGAAATGACAAACCACTCCAGTATCTTTGCCAAGAAAACCCTAAATGGGGGCATGAAGAGATGGACACCACTGAAAAACAACTGAAACAACAGAGTTGCATGAAGTTGTCAGCCTCACTCTCTCTTCCTGAGTCGATGAAGGCCAGTGGCAGGACAAAAGTCAAGACGATGGGAGATTGCCTGGGATTCAGTGGGTGACCTTGGTATCTTCCATGTCAGACCAAGCTCTAAGCACCCCACAATGCCCGAGTCAGCCGCCTTCTCGGCCCTTCGAACAATTGTTCTCATCCACCTACTTCACCAGGGAAAGTCTTCACATGCTTGGGACAGACCCCCCTAACACACAGGTGGGTCTGAGGCCCATGGGGCATCCTCAGCCTGGGTTAGCCGGGCCGCCCACACAGTTTTACTAGGGTGTGGCCACTGCCCATGCCACAGCTTCGCGGCACCCCAGGTGAGAGGCGGGTGAGTCAGGTGGACACCAAAGGTGGATGAGCAGGCTGGGCGGCCCTCCTCTGCTGAACAGGTGCTGAACACCTTGAACTCCCTTCACACCCCATGTACCCCCAAAGCTAGCAGCTCTGGCCTGGAACGAATGAGTGAATGAATGAATGAGCGAGCCCAGGTGGGTGTCGGGTCTGGAAGTCCTGGTTACCGATGGATTTAATAAAACACCCAGGAACGTCCTAAGGCATAAGAAGGTTTCCACGCTCAGTTCCTCCATTACTCTTCCTCCACAGCAGGTACACCTATGCAGGGCGCGGCCCACCCACGCCCACCTCACGCCCACCTCACGCCCCGCCTCTTCCTCTCCTCGCTCTTCCCCTCCTCCTCCTTCCCCCTCCCGCCCCTCGAGGCTCGCTGTGTCAATGGACCTGCGTGATCCGACGCTCTTACGTCACCGCACCGGGAGAGCTGGGATTGGCTGAGGAGACGACAAGGCAGCGTGGGGGGAGGGGCAGCCGGCAGACAGGGAGGAGCCAGCGGCGAGATGCGGGAAGGGGAGGGAAAGGAGGGAAGGGAAGGAGAGGGGAAAGGGAAACCTTGGGGTCCTGCCTTCCCTCCTCTGGGGGCGGGGCTTCCGGCGGCGGGCACGAGGGGCGGGGCCTGCCAGCGATGCCGGGCCTGGGCTCCGGGGCGGAGGGAGTCTGCGCATAGCCGCCGCCGCCCGGGCCTGAGGAGTGGACGCGATGGCCGGGCCCGCGTGGATCCCGAAGGTGAGCGCGGAGGGGCCGGGCCTCGGGGGCCGCGTGTAGGGGGCTGCGTGTGCGCGTGCGTTCCCGTCAACCGCCCCTGCCCCCACCCCCACCCCTAGGGCCGCAGCAGGAGCGCGGGGTCCGGGAGCGGGGAGGTCGGCCCTGGCCCCGGCCCCAGCCCCGACCCCGATCTCGGCCCGGGTCCGGCTCCCACCCTCGCCGGCTCCCTCGCTTCCTTGTTGGGGCCGGGCCCCTCCCCCGGCCGGCCCTCGGGCTACCGCCCCTCCTGCCGTGCGGGCCTTGGGGCTCGGCCCGGCCCAGCCCAGGGGCGGTGTCAAGGTCACGGGCGCGCCCGGAGCCCGCGGGGCGCGCTGGGACAGGGGGGCGGCCCGGGGCTGCCGCGTGGACCGCGCCGGCGGGCCCGGAGCCCCGGGGAGGGCGGCAAGGTCGGGTCGGGCGTGACCTCCCGGGGCCCAGGGAAGGGCTGTCGCGAGGGGGGGGTCCCGGGCGGGGCGGTGCTGGCAGCGGGCCGCGTGGAGACCCCGGACTCGCGTCCCCAGGGCGCCTGCCTGCATGCCGGGCAGAGGCAGCTCCAGTCCCCGGACAGCCCGGAGGCTGCCCTGAGAAGCATAGGAGGACGTTCAGGCCACATCTGGAAGACCCCGCGGAAACCTGGAGACCAGGAGGCCCCCCAGGATGGCCAAGGGCTCCTAGGGACCTCCAGGGCCAGCCAGGCCCAGCATCCCCGGATCTTAGGGGCATTAGAAGGAGAGCAGAAAACCGAGGCCCAGAGAGGGTGAGCCACTTGCCCAAGGTCACCCAGGGAGGAAGGGCAGGTGCAAACCCAGGTCCTCCGATTTCGAGTCCATCACTCTTTCCACTGTATCACCATAGGATGGCAACTGAGGCCCAGGGAGGGTAAGCCACTTGCCCAGGGTCGCCCAGGTACCAGAGCTGGTATTCGAACCCATGTCCTCGCTTCACAAATCAGCACTCTTCACTGTGTGTGTGCACATGACAAATGGAGGCCCAGGGAGTTAGGTGGCTCTCTTACCTGAGATCACATAGCCTGTACATATCTGAGCAGGAATTTGTACTCAGGTCCTCAGATTCCAGTGCTAATGCTCTTTCCATTGTGCCTGAGGCCATACCTTATTGAAGGAGTTGGAAGTGTTTAATCTGCATAAGAGAAGTCTTGGCAGGGAGGTGAACTAGATGACCTCCAAGGTACATTTCAGCAGGAAAGCTCCTATCCTGTGCTGTCAGTCCTCAGGTAGGGCTGTCTTAGTGAAGAGGGAATAAGCTTGCTCTGTTTGTGCCCAGAAGGCAGAAATAGGAACATTGGGAGGAGGTTTCAGAGGGGGCAGCTTGATATAGTGATTGTTACAAGAAAAAGCATCCTGACAATTGGATAGAGCTGCGGTTGCAGCAAGATGAGTATGGAGCCTGAAACTAGGGAGCTGATAGGCTCATTGTACTTTGTCCTGCTTTAGAACAGAAGGCTCAGTTGTGGGGACCACTTCTTAAGAAGGGCATGGATAAACTAGTCCAGCTTAGGACAGCTGGGATGGTGAAGTACCTGGAGGCCATATCCTCTAAGAACTGGAGAAAAAACAGCAGTTGGTGGGGTGGAGAGGGGAAGCACATGATACCTGTCTTCAGACATCAGAAGGACCATTACAGGGTCTCCTTCTGCATAGTACCAAAGTACCACCTGAGAGCAGTGGTATTCAAGATACAGAGGCAGCTTTAGATTTGTTGTATGGAATAACTTCCTAATAATGAGAGCTGATCCAGAGTTGAATGGGCTGCCTTAGGAGGTAGTGGCTTCCTCATCCTTTGGGCTATTCAAGAAGAGGTTGGATGGCCACTTGTTGGGGATTCTATAGAGAGATTTCCACTCAAAGGGGTTAGAACTAGGTCATCTCGAAGAATTCAACCTCTGGAGTCCATTGCCTTCTTGTCCTCTCCAAACTGACCCCTCATGCAGCAGGAGTAGGTTTTCTGATGCCCTCTTGGAGCTCTATCCAGTGTGGCCAGCTCAAACTTTTCTGGAAGAAGTGTTACTGGAATGGTGATGTCACTTGTCAGATGTAGTAGGGCATATTAGGAAACCATAACTGAATGGCTGGCACTATTTGATAGCTTTTCAGCAGGTCTTTTCTTCTTCTTGATGTTATCGAAAATTGGTACCAACAAAGGAATTAGACCTTCTTAGAGTTCTCAGACTGAGAGCTGTACGCCTGGTTCCCCTGTACCTAAAGGTGACCAGATGTTAATATGCATCCTGTTATGTGTTTTCCCATCTTTGTGTAGCACATTTTAATTTTCCTATCAGGGTTTGTTAACCTTAGTCCACTGTCCTAGGTCTCCCTATTTGTCTTCATGCCTTTATGCATTTCTGACCTTCAGAGTGGGAGGTCTTTTTAGATCAGGGTTTCCTGGGGTACTTTTGCTGCCAGATTTGGTTTCTCTTAAGTTCTCTTGCCCCTTGCATGATCTCTGCCATGATCTTTTTTCCCTACCTGAGGACAGCAAAGTACTTTACAAGTACTTTTTTTTTTTTTACTCTTGACTTTGGCCTTTAAGAGATAATAAAACAGTGAATGCTGCTAGCGTTTTACTCCTATAAAAACTGGGGCCTGGACAGGTTAAGTGTTTTGACCAAGGTCACAGCAAATCATTGGTTCGAGAGAACAGACCTCATGTGTCTTGATGTCCACCTAGCCTCCTCCTCTACCTTGAGTAGTTAACCCCAAATCACCTAATGTGGGACTTAGAGAGAACATTAGAGTTCATCTCGTTCGACCTCCTTATTTTTCCAGATGAGGAAACTGAAGCAAGCCCAGAGAAACAGAGATTGGTCCAAGGTCACTCAGGTAGTGAGTGGCAGGGTCCAGGACTCAGCACTCAGGTGTGCTGGCTCCAAGTCCAAAGCCAGGGCATTCTTTGTATGACCTTGCGCTGCCTCTCCTGGAACACTTGATGCCACACAGACCTTTTCTTTTTGATTGTCAGTTGTGATAGACAAAAAGAAGCTCGTAGTTACTCAAATTCCTTCATAAAAGGAGTCATATTTATTGGTCTCTGGCCATACATTTAGGACAGTATTACCCTGTCACCCCAAAAAGACCTCTGCTTGTTGTGGGGGTGATTTTAATTGTTTTTGTTGTATTATAGTGATGCTCCCTGCAAGGACAGCAATTTGTGGCGTAATCAAATCAAAGTCAGTCCATTAATTAAGAAAGTAATACCTACTAATGAGAAAATAATAAGGCATTTACTGTTCTGGCAGCAAAGAGAATGGAATTCCAGGCCTGTCTCTGCCACTAAGTAGGCCTCCATTTCCCCTTGTGCTGTTGAAAGAGATGAGGTAACATCCAGGCCAGTGCCAAAATCCTTTTAATTCTTTATATGTTTTTCTTGTCAGAATCTCTGATTTAATAGGTAAGGGGAACTCCCAGTAGCAAGGAGGACCGTCAGCTGTTTGGCCATTCATACTCTCGGAAAGCTGCCTGTGGCACGGAGAGCTTGAGTGCCTTGTGGAGGGAAGGCCACTGAGCCAGTGTCCCAGGGCTTCCTGACACCAAAGCCAGCTCTCTCTCAGGCCTTTACCGTGAACCTTCAGCCATTGTTCAGCACACATGCTTCGAGTCTAGCGTCATACCAAGCGTGTTCAGATGGTGGGGGCTAAGGCTGACTAAAAAGAGGGAAGACGTATGGTCCCTGCCTTCAGGAGCTTCCCTGAGTCGTGTCAACTCAGCATCGTCCTGCTGGGCTTGGAAGGGATCTCAGAGATCAAAGCCAGCCCCTTCGCTTTGCAGCATAGAACAGCTGAAGGTCATGATGGGAGCCTGGGCTAAGACTTGGGACTTTGGTTTTTAGTCTTCTGTTCTTTGCTTTTGCTGCCTTCTCAGAGCAGTCTCAATAGCTTGACACGAGATTACAGATCTTGCTCTACATTTGAAAATACAAATCAGTAAAGGAAATAATTTATAAGTAGCACCGTGTATGTGCTAAGTAAAGCAACCTCTACTCCATCTTAGCCAGATGGCTGGCTGCTTAACATCCAGAACACAATGCCACTTTTGAGGTTTTGTTCCCTCTGTTACTTTAGAGTGGAAAGGAGGAATGTTGCTAAATTGTAAGCATCTAAGGGCACTCACTTATTAGTGGTTATCACAAAGTATTGTATCCATGGGCAGCTATTAAAACGACCCTGGCTTTTTCTTAGAGATATTTATATGGTCTCTGTACAGTGAGAGCACAGGATGATTGGGGACTGTTTTTCCACAGTGCTCTTTAAAACATAATGTTGAAAGAGAAATTCAGCCTGCAACCTATATCCTCATCCTGTGCGGTTATGAGAGCATCACTTTGCCAGTGCTAGAGAGCTGGTATGGTGGGTGAAGTGCCCCTCTTTTTTTTTAATTGTTTGAGGCAGTTGGAGTTAAGTGACTTGCCCAGAGTCACAGAGCTAGTAAGTGTTATGTGTCTGAGACTGGATTTGAACTCAGGTCCTCCTGACTCCAGGGCCAGTGCTCTGTCTACTATGCCACCTAGCTGCCCCTGAAGAGTGCCCTTCTATGATGAGTCGTAGCATCTCCAGGTCAGAAGGAACACATGGGAGCTTATCCAGACCCATGCCTAATGGAGCAGAATCTGCTCTGCTTGGAGACTTCCAGGGACGGGGAATTCAGCGCTTTGGAAGACGAATCATTCTACCTTGGGACGGTTCTAACTAAGCCTGATGAAGTTTTCCCACGTGTCAAGCTGAAAGCTGCCCCTCTCGGCTACTCCCTCACCATTGCTCGTTCTGGCCCCCAAACAAAACAAAAGTGCCCTCTTGTCCATTCTTTTTTGGTATCTCTTAGTAGAAATTATATGTTAATACTACAGAAAATAAAGGTAGAGTGAGCAGAGTCTTTCCCTGGACAGGATGAAATGCAACCCTCCAAAAATCTACATGTAGACACTTTCAAACAATTCTTTAAATCTTCTCAGGGAATTACGGAGTTTTAGAGCTGGAAAAGGGACCTTAGAGATCATCTAGTTCAATTCCCTTCCTTTTACAGATGATGAAACTGAGGTGCAAAAACGTAAAGAGATTTGCCCAGAGAGCCACAGGTCAATGAGATTCCAAATTCAAACTAGGATCCTTTGCCTCTGAGTCCCAGGCTTTGTGTCCCCAGCTGGCTCCTCTTCTCATCAGTTCTCTTCCCATTGTCATACTCCGCACTTTGGCCCTTTTTTCTAATTATTCTTTATAATACATTCACCTTACCTCTAATCCAGTGTGGTTTTGGACCAACTCAAATGATTTAGTAATGATGGCCTTTTAAAGGTCATTTTCATTCCCTCCTCTAGATAAATACAGAAAAATCAAATGGCATTTAGTAATGTTTCTTAATTCCTGTTGTCATGACATATTATTTTTAAATCCCTGCAAGAAGGTTTAATGCTTGCTTTTATTAGCATTTGTGTGTTACCCCATTATTTCCCATGGTCCAAAAGTGGACTAGTTGTCCTCTGAGTTCCCTTCCAGCTCTTTATCTGTATATGGGTTTCCACTCAGATGTTATGAGAGAAATTAATGGTTTGAGATTATGTATCATTTCTTCCTAATAATCTTTTGATGTGGTAACAAGTTGGACAAATAAAATTTATTTAAAGTGTGTAATCAGATTTTGGAGGTAGGAGATGAAATTATAACCTATTAGTAAAATACTCCAAGAAGTTCATGAGATCATAGATTTGGAGACAAGGGGAACTCAGGGGTCATGTAGTCTAGGCCTCTCATTTTACAGATGAGGGAGTTGAGGCCCAGAGCAATTAAGTGAGTTGTCCAAGGTAACAACACAGGTAACCATAGGAGTCCACAGGTAACACCTCCAACCTTAGGAGACGTGGACCTTGAACCTGGTTCCCCTGACTCCAGATCCACTGCTCTTATGTTTGTATACATCTTAGTATTATCACCAACCATCCTTGATACCTTATCTTTGGCTTTCTGTGTGTTACTTAATGCTGGTAGTAACTGACTCTTCTTTTTGGGTGTTAACAATAGGTATCTCGACTGCTGAGGGCCTTCAGCAACCCAAAACAGGTGACCCGAGGTTTTGCTGGTGGTGTGAGTACCTCTCATATTTTTCCATTTTAGAAGTTTCTCAAGAAAGGTGTTTAGCACATTTATTACATAAAACTTAATTTCCATTTATGAAAACTTATAGACAAGCCCACAATTCAGGGGCAAGCAAAACTTGTTTGCTAACTTGTACATGAACCCATCAGGTCAGTTACACATTTAAAAGAATTCTATTCCAGCTGGCTGGGGGGGCCTGTCACACTAAAATCTCATACCAGCCCTGTTTAAAAATAGATGGAAATTCCCCTTGAGCCTGGTAACATTTCACAATTTCATCTCATCTCTGAAAAGCAGTTTCTGTGAAACTAGTGCAAATGGAACAAAAGTTGTTGAGAACCTTCAAATCTGGCTTCCCTTTTTTTTGAGCTTTCCTAAAAACAGTAGATTTACTTCCCTTTTAGAAAATTCTCTTGCTTTTATCGACCCTGTAGGTTTCTGCTTATTCATTCTTTATTGAGTATCTTATTAATGTTTCATTTACTTAACTTTAAATCTGCTGTTTTTAGACTTCCCAGCATTAGAGAAACCTTGCATTTTAAAAACTGATTCCACATTTCTAGTCAATCTAAGGTTGTGGGTCAGTGATTCCCTATCTTTTTTTTTAATTCCCTCCTTAAATGTTCTCATTTGGGTTTCTTAATTCCAGTACTCCCAAATAACATCTCATGATGTAAAATTTCCATAAAACCCAGGTATATTAATCTGACTCACTTTTTCAGCTATGGAAGGGCTCTGACCTTTTCTATAATCCAGTGACCACCCAATGGAATTTACAGTCAATCAAATGTTATTGGGAGAACAGGAAGGAAGAACCTGAAGGATTCTTAGCTTTCTGCTAGTGCAAAGGTTAAGATTGACTGTTGCCGCCAGAGATGCAAGTATAGCTAAGTTGGTATTTCAAACAGAAACCCTGGAACATGACATTTTGGGCTTAGCATCTTGAATCACCCAGTCTTCTGTCATTATTGAATGTTTGTGCCAGTGTTTTCCAAATATTCAGTCATCTCCCTGTTGTGTATCTTGAGTATATGTCTGAAAGAAATGCCAGGAGATGTTGGCTTATACGGCCTCTGCTGGTGGCAGAAGGGGTGATAGTGGGAAGGCAAATGTAAGCCGAGAAGCATCCGGAAGGGTCTAATTGGATTAAATTCCACTGGGACAGCTTGTGGAGCCCAAGCAAGGGGCTGATGCCCCACTTGCAGTGGGTCACTTATGTACAGAATCACTGTCCACTTGCAAAGATGAAGGGCTGCTGGATTTCATCCTAGCTCATTTTGTGCCATTGGGTCACTTTTTTTTTTTTTCATTTGTTTAAAATGCTGGCTTCTTGAGTGGAGCCATTGGCATATTGGCATTGCTTTGTGATTTCACTTGCTGTCTCTCATTATAGTGTTAGTCTTTACATAGATGTTGTCACAGATGCCACTCTTGGCAATGAAAAATAAAAAGCTCTTTAGCTTGTATCGTCTATTTAAATCAAAGTTTGACTACTAAGAGTCATTTTTAAAGTAACATTGAGAAATTCCCAGAGCTGCTTTTGATTTTTTTTTTCCTGAATGATTGAGCCCTTGTTCTCCTTTCAGAGTACTGTGGTGGACAACATAGTTTACCAAGAAATTTGTCCAAAAATGTGTTAGGGTGTCTTTAATTTAGTAAAAGAGTTGGGGAGAAAGTCTATGTCAGATTTCTAAAATCATACCAGTTTAATTTCAAATACTTTTTCAAGTACTTGAAATTTGCCTTCATAGAAGGCTAGAGAAATCATTTTGGAAACCCTTAGATCTCTTTTCAGCTTTTTGTATAGACTAGTGATGATCAGTTTGCCACCTTGTATTTCTGTAAAGAATAAAGGTGGCATTAGGAAGGCTTTTTTGGTAACCTAATTATTGCTTTACCTAATGAGCATCAGCAGAGTCCTCGTCAACAAAACAAAACAGTAAAATCAGGGGAGGGGTTGACTTCAGAGAGTCCTGTGGTCTAGTCATTCTTGCTGTTTGGATAAATCATTGGCAACTTAAGGGAATGATGTCTTTTTTAAATTTAAATTTTACATTTTGGCCTAAGATCATTTGGTCTCTTGGGGAACTGGTAAAATAGGCTTCACTGGCTCTGATACTCTTATACATTCTTAGAGCCTTCATTTTATGTTACACTTTGTTACAGCATCTATTTTGCATTTTCTGATGGTTTTCTACATTTAGGTACAGACAGTGACCTTAATCCCAGGAGATGGTATTGGACCAGAAATCTCAGCTTCTGTTATGAAAATTTTTGATGCTGCCAAAGTATGTGAGCATTTATAATCATTTAGTCATAGTTGATATAAAAACCTTTCCCAGCTAATCAATTGTCTTATATTTTTAGAAGGGAGAATTGAGTGTAGGTATTTTAAGTTTCTTGACATTGGCAGTAAGTGCAGAGTTTACTTCAAAACCTGCTTCACTTGCAGCATTTTATAAGTAATGCCTAATACATCTGTTGTCAAGCATTTCTTAAGCTCTTAACTGTATGCCAGTTACTGTGCCAAGTGCTGTGGCTGCAAAGACACGTTGAACAACCCCTACCCTCTCGTAGGTGACCTTCTAGTGAGGAATTGTTGGTTTAAAGGTAACATTTTTGTTGCCTGGTTGGCTCATGATTCCTCTACCCGTCTCTGAGCATCCTGGGCATTAATATAGCTGCTGAATGTGTGAGCATGGCATTTAAAAGAGTCTTGTTCTTTCTACCACATGGTAGAATATTTTCTTGGGGTGAGGGGGCTAGTGCTGAGTCAAGATAACATCCCTCATGCATACTTTGCACAAACCTGGCCCCCAGTATAGGTATTTAAACATGCTATTTATTTGAGAAATTTTAAGGGCTTATATTCTACTTGCTTTGTGGCTTAATAATTGCTAATTATAAGTCACTACTAAGTAAAATGAAACATAACAATAAATCCCAGTAAATAGAGGCTGTGATGTTCATGGCTACTTTCCTTGGAACCCTCCTCTGATGTATGCTCCATCAGGGTGTACGCTCCCTGGGAGCACAAACTGCAGGTTCTTTAAAGCTGCCAAGGCTCCAAGTAGGGCCTGGGCCCTGTCACCTGAGGACCAGCAGGACTGGAGAGGCTCATCCCTAAAGAGGCCCTCATCCCCAGGCCCCATATTGTTGGCCACAGTGCTCAGGAAGAGCTTTGAGAGAATTCAGATTTGGGAAATCTCTGCTCAGTGAATGAGGAGCAGCAGCTAAAGGCAGATGAACCCCATTTATTTAAACTGTTCCCACATTATTACTTTAGTGCTTTTAGCATTAAAACCCACCATAAAGAGATACTAGAGTTGTGAAAAAAAAAAAAAAATCACTGCCTAAATGAAATGGATAGTGTTAGCATCAGGAATTCCATTCTTTGGGGTGAAAGAGAAAATAGAGAATATGTCTTAATTTTTTCCCTATCTTGCTTAGGTCATAAGATGAGAGAGTTAGCTCTGGAAGGCATTTCAGAGATTATCAAATCCAACACCACGTCCCCTATTTTACAGATGAGGAAATTGAGGCCAAGAGAGATTAAGTGTCTTATCTAAGACCGCACAGGTAGTAAGTGACAGAGCTAGAATTCTCCAAATCTCACACTTACATAACACGTCTTGTTTCTGTCGCTCCCCATGTACCTTATCATAAGCTAAATATAGGAATCTCCTTAGATCTTTGTGCAGGGATGGGGAAGACAAGAGTGGGTATACAGCAGCTGTTAACCATGGCCTAATACCCCCAAGTGCCTTGGGGTAATATGACAAGTGTGATATTGAGCCGTCCCCTGGGCCAAGAGCACAGTAAGATCAGTTATTATGTGTCAGGAACTGACTGTCGTGACCTTTTAAATACATAATTTCACATGACCTCCAAGGAGGATAAATGCGAGCTCATTTAAGATACTGAAGGATGAAGACATTATAATAACATGTCAGTCTTGGTTATAAGTATTCCTACTCCACAATGACACGTTCTGTGGTATTTAGGCACCCATTCAGTGGGAAGAGAGGAATGTCTCTGCCATTAAAGGACCTGGAGGGAAGTGGATGATTCCTCCTGAAGCCAAAGAATCCATGGACAAAAACAAGATGGGGCTGAAAGGTATGGCTGCAATTGAATTGATGAGAGTAAGCGAGACATCTTTAGTTTTGTTACAAGTGGCATAATTTTGGAAATACGTGTGTGTGTGTGTGTGTAGCTACATTTTACATAGATATTTACCTACATTTTATATATATATTTCATATATATGTCTATATTATATATATATTTTCTATATCTCTCTGTGTATATCATATATATATTCTACATCTTTCTATCTACTATATTTATATATATATGTATATTTATTTATGTCTTCCTGCAAACATACTCTGATCTTCCCTTTCCTTAAACAAAACAAAACTTTGCTTGTGCCCTGCTACCCCTTGAGTTTCAGTCCCATGGTTCTTTTCCCTTTTTGTGTCAGATTTCTCAAAAGCAAAGAATGACCTTCACTCCCTGTTTCTGTTTCTTCATCAAAGCAGAGAGGAGGCTTAGGGGAATGGCAAGGCTCCTGGTCTTGGAGTCAAAATAGCTTTGGGCTAGAATGCTGCTCTGATTCTTACTTGTTGTGTCATTTGCTATGGTAAATCTATCTCCTTACACATCACCTGTGTCATCACATAGAACTCACCCTCCCTGCCACCTGCCCCCCATTCTTCCAGCTTTTTGTGGTCCCAGCACAATTGGCTCACTTGTTGGTTAGTGCTGCATAGGTGTGACTGGTATTTCTGCAAATGCCAACGCTGGAAGGCCCTGACTTGACTTTAACTCTGCCATCAACCTTTCCAGATCCACGCCAGTCCTCCTATCTTATCTTCCCCCTCTTTCATGCTCCATCACCAGTCCAGGCTGTTGGATTTTTCTGCCTCAGCATCTTGCCTGTCCATCCTTTATGCTCTGTTCCCACAGCTGCCACCCCAGCACTGACTTGAGAGTCAGTGGGCCTGAGTTTGGATTGCAGTGGTGTTGCTTACTTCTCTCTGGCTAAATCATTTTATTCTCCTCTAAAGCATTGTCACCAATGTTACAAGTGTTATTGCTTTCCGTGTTTGTGCAGTTCTTTTTTTTTCTCATTAAAAATATTAAAGTGTGACTAGCTTCAAATTCCAGTATGCCTTTTGGTCATTTTTTTAGTTGGCCATGCATTTATTTTTGTTATCTAACCAATATTTCTCATACATGCTTTAAGATTTACATCACTTTCCTCATATCCTCCTTATAGAGCAGGTAGCATGTAGGGAACATTGGCTCCATTTTCCAGTTTAGAAATTTGTTCAGGGAAGCTGGGTGCCTTGCCTGGGGGCCGATGGATTTTTATCATCATGAGGCAAAATACTGAAATATCATAAGGAGGATAAATACTCATTTATTTCTCCAAATTCAGTGTGAACACATTGTGCTTCCCAGAAGTCAGTAGAAGAGTATGGGTGAGCTGTCTGCTCACAGGCAGCTCTGAATTGGTGCTGGAAAAACACAAGCATCTCACGAGTTACCGGAGACAAGAGCTGTCACCTTTTGCTTTCATTTTGTTCTTAACTAGTGTGTCATTTAAGAATTGTTTGTTTATTCCAGGCCCCTTAAAGACACCAATAGCAGCTGGACATCCTTCTATGAATCTACTTCTTCGTAAAACTTTTGATCTTTATGCAAATGTACGTCCATGTGTCTCCATTGAAGGCTACAAAACCCCTTACACAGATGTAAATATTGTCACGATTCGGGAGAACACTGAAGGCGAATACAGCGGTATTGAGCACGTGGTATGTGTGCTTCTGGTAGTCTCTCAGGAGGCAGGCTGACCCGTCTTAGCATAGATTTGTTTTTCATGGCCTTACATCAGCCGTAAAAGCTGAATGTTAGCGTTATTGACCAAGGACTGTAGGATCAGTCAATTTTGGCTTTTATGAAATGTGTCCGGGTTGTGTAGTGATTGGATGGAAATAAGCCTGAGAGCTCAGAGGTCATGGGTCAAGTTTTGCCTCTAACCAGCCTATCCTGCCTGTGTGACTCCGGGTTGTTAGGGACATGACAGAGAAGGTGCCAGTCTGCCTCGGTGCAGGGAGCATCTTCATCAGAGCAGTTCCTTTGCTATTGGGAGGTCAGGGTTGAATCATCACACGGTGATGTTGATGGTCAGGTCGTGTGTTAGCACGTGCTGGAGCTCACAATGTGGAACCTTAGGAATCCTCCGGCCCCACCCTGTCTTTTGAGTGAGAAGATAGAGTCAGTAGAAGCTGTCTGTCTTCTCTGTAGTGCTGAGACCATTTGTTCGTCCTTTGTCAGATCGTTGATGGTGTTGTGCAGAGTATCAAGCTCATCACCGAAGAAGCCAGCAAACGTATTGCCGAGTTTGCCTTTGAGTATGCCAGGAACAATCACCGAAGCAATGTGACTGCTGTGCACAAAGCAAATATCATGTATGTGGGCTGGGCGTTTGGGCTGCTTCTGATTCTGAAGTGGGTTTTGGAAAGCGTCTTGGTTTGCTGAGAGCTCTAAAAAGTGGGATTTGAGTATGTTCTTAAGGATGCAAGCTCTCGACAGTTATTTCTTCTGCTGGAGTCTCTTGATGTAGTTTAATAGAATAATATTAATTTATGGCAGGAGGGTGCTAGTAAGTCCATCACCTTGGCTTTTGTGTGATGCTGGCCTGTTTACAAAGTGCTTTTACATACATTAACTCACTCGAGCTTCCTAGTATTTCTTTGAAGGAGGTCAATAGAACAAGTCTTATTCACCCCATTTTTCAGATGAGGAAACTGTTGTAGCAAAGGGGGAATTAAAGTACTGGGGTTGATGCTAGCTGGAGGGTGTGAGGCTGCAGAAATAAGGCAGGAGGATCCCAGGCCCTTGTATTTACTCTCTCTGGTCATGGAGTCCAGCCTCCTCATTTTACAGGTAAGGAAAGAAATTGCCCAGGGCCGTTGAGGTAGTTAAGTGGCAGCCAGGTCATCTTCTCCATCTCACTTGGATTTCCTGCTGCCATTATGTGCAGAAATCCTTGGAGAATTGAAGAGCTAACAGTATTTTGAAAGTCAAACGGTCACTCAGCCAAAGGCATAGGCGTAATTTCTGTTTTTAAAAGTGTGCTGGTCAGTGAGGTCTCTATAATGCAGTCACCAATCCAAGGGCCCTCAGGAGAACCAGAGGAGCTGCTACCTTATTCTGGCTTTTCCTACTCGCTGCTATATTAACTGAAGTATAAATCAACCCCAATCCTATATCTCCCAAATGTGTAAAAGATTCTTTTTCCTAACTAAGAAAAGTTCCAAGTATGTAAAATCTAAAACTTTATAATCAGTGACTTTTCAAGGCCGCTTTAGTATTGTCAGAATGTTCTAACATTGGATGCCTCTTAGACTTTGGAGGGTAAGAGTGGCATAAATCAGACTCATCTTCTTCTGGCTTTTAATACTTTGGAGCTCCCTGGGCGTCGTGCCTCCTCCTCTGGCTTCTGTCTCCCCTCCCCTTCTCCACTGCCTGTGAACCGTGGGATATTTGGCTCAGCCTGTTTCATCAAATACCTAAAACAGTTTTAAATTCTAACTGAAACCAGCAAAGTCGGCTCCCAACGTTTATGCCTTGGTATGCTTGGCTTTTATACTTTAATCATTTGCTTCCTCTAAGGCTTTGCTTTCAAAACAATTTTTATTTGATTAACTGCAGGCGAATGTCAGATGGGCTTTTTCTCCAAAAGTGCAGGGAAGTTGCAGAAAACTGTAAAGATATTAAATTTAATGAGATGTACCTTGATACAGTATGTTTGAATGTAAGTATATGCTAAGAATTATGCCTGGGGGTTTTGTGGCAGAGGGTGCTTGCTTTCTACACTCCACAAATGTGTTCTTCTTTCTAGATGGTACAAGATCCATCCCAGTTTGATGTTCTTGTGATGCCAAATTTGTATGGGGACATCCTTAGGTAAGTCTGCCACTATCCTAGCTCCGTTGGTAAAGAAATATCCTGAGTAATCCTCTCTGGTTGTCACCTCCCAGCTTCCACAGGTTGCATGCAAAGTTCTGCACATTAACATTGAGAAGGCACAGTCCATATTCTGGAGAAGTACATGGAAGAGTCCATCACTGAGTGTTAAAGAAAGATTTGGGAGCTGAGCTCTCCCTGCTCATTCAGCAGCTTAATTGGCCTTGGGCCTGCTGCACCCCTTCGAGTGTATCTTGTTTTGAAAGTTTACTTCAGAATTCTCTTTTTCAGTGATTTATGTGCTGGCCTGATAGGGGGTCTTGGTGTCACACCGAGTGGAAATATTGGCGCTAATGGAATCGCCATCTTTGAATCGGTAAGGATCTCTGAAACTTCATTGTGATATCTAGGCTAAAATTGCTCAGTGACTCCAGCAATGTTCAGAACATTCTTTGTATTATTATGAGCAGCACTAAATCTGTTTGCTAAAAAGAAGTCACTTAGGAAAATTACATGTTTGGTTTTTGCATTTAATCTTGTCTTTATTGGCTGTTTTATGGATGACCTGCTTGTGTTTTTTGCCAAAAGTTATATGGGAAAAAATTCTAGATTGATTTTCATCTTTGGAAAAGGTTTCTTAGTGATTAGACTTTGGATAGATCTTTTTCTCCCTGCTATGCAGACCTTAGGTCACATAAGGCCTTATTCTCAAGAATGTAGCGTCAGACCTTGTGATAGTCATGTAGGACTGTGAGGCTTACAAAGTGCCTATCCCACTGGATCTTCACAATGGCTCTTTGAGGTAGGCGCAGTTTTTTTTTTCTTTTAAGTGTATTTTTATTGTTCTTGTTTGTTCTTTATGTCCTCAGAATTTCCCCCAGTATTCCTCTCCCTCACAGAGAGCCAATCTATGTAACATTTAAAGAAAAAAAAAGAAGAAAAAAATCAGCAAATTTAATCAGTGAATCAGAGAAGTCTGCAAATAAATGTAAAATGCCAGACTGATGAATTCCCCTACCCCACACCACCTTTGCAAAGAGGTGGGGCAGGGGTGTCTTGTCATTTCTCTTCTTTGGGGCTACCTGTGGTGTTTATAATTTTGTAGCATTCACGTTTGATAGATATGCCCTCCATTACATTGTCATAGGAATTGCGTCTGTCGTTTCCTTGGCTCTGCTGACTAAACTGTGCTTCAGTTTCTATCGCTCTTTGCGTGCTTCTCTGTTCATCATGTTCTTCTGCTCATCCTTTTATACAGCACAGTCATATTCCCTGACATTCGTGTGCCACAGTTTGTTTAGCCATTCCCTAGTGGATGGGCATTGCTTTGTTTCCGTTTCTTGGCTACCACAAAAAGTGCTGCTACCTATGTTTCGGTGCTTATGGCAACTGTGGTCTTGTTCAGTGACTTCTATGGGGGTTGTAGCCTAGTAGGACACTCGCTGGGTCAAAAGGTGTTGACACTTTATTTGCATAATTCCAAATTGTTTCCCAAAATGATTGTACTGATTCACAGCTTCACCAACCGTACAACAGGGTCTTGTCTTTCCACAGCCTGGGATAGATATTTTTGTTCTCATTATTATTATTCTCATTTTATTATATTATTGTATATTACATTATTATTATAATATATAATAATATAATATATTATTACATATTATTCTCATTTTATAGTTGAGGCTAAGAGTAAGAGATAAATGATTCATCTGTGGTCAGTCACCCATGTCAAGTGAGTGAGTGTCAGAACAGGATTTGAACTCAGGTTTCTGCTCATTGCAAATCCAGTATTTTTCACACTAAAAAAATGAGCACAATGGATATTCATCATAGAGCATTATAGGGGGTGGGGTTGAAAGGTACCTTAGAGGCCATTTGGTCTAACTCATTTTGCATATGAAGAAACTGAGGCCTAGCAGAGATGTGCCCATTGTCATACCCATATTTAAATTTTGAGCCATAGTTTGAACCAAGATCTTCTTGAATATGAAATGTTATGTTGAGATCTTGATGCCACCTCTTAGGAAGGGGTGTTAGTGAACTAAATGATACTGTTCCAAGGAGGGCAGCCAAGATGGTCAAGATGGTGGAGTGATTTGAGTTTATGTTGGGTGAGTGTTGGTGATGCTCATATTGGAAGAGAGAAAATGGGGTGGGAGTGGGGGGTTTGATAGTCATCTTGAATCAATTAACAAGCATGTATTGAGCTCTACAGTGTGCCAAGCACTAGACTGACTGTTGGGGATACAAATGCAAAGAATGAAACTTCAAATAATTTCAAGGGCTTTCACATGGAAGAGGGTTGAGCCTTGTTCTGGGCTCCAGATGATGGAGGCCAGGTGCACAAGGGCAGTGTGAGGCCTGGTGTCAGGAGAGAAGACTTCCCAGTGCTTGGGGCTTATCCAGAAGTGGGATGGGTTGCCTTGGCAGTCACGAGGTTGCTCCTTGTCAGAGCTCCTTGGGCTGACATTCTTGGGGATGTGATCATAGGGATTGTTGGTCAAGTGCAGGTTAGGCCAGATGGTAGCCACCGAGGTCCCTGCCACCTCCACAGTCAGAGCCCTTGATATCTGAGGAGCCATGTTGCCTTCTAATGTTTGTTGTTGATAACAGCTTGATCATAACATAACATAACAACATCATCATGATTCCAAAGACTTGCAACTTCATTGTGTGCACACGCCCTGCATGTGCAGATCACCACACCTTCATGTCATGCCCAGAAAGAATCCATGACTTGGTGGCCCCTGGCTTCTTTGGCAGCAAGCCTCTTGGTCAGGCCAGACCTCAGTTGTGCAAGCACACAATGTTGCAAGGGCCATTTGTGAAGCCTTTTCAGCTGGGCTGGACCCCAGGACCTGATGGAGCTCATACTCTCCCTGGCCTAACCTTCAGAAAGCCAAGGTCATCTTGGGTCCTGAGGGAGGCAGTGGATGAGACTTGAGTAAAGGAATCATAGTTCACATTTAGAGAGGGCGTTAGATTTGCAGAGTGTGCTGTTGTTATCCCCATTTTACAGATGGAGAAAATGAAGCTGAAACACATGATGTGCCCATGACCAATGGACTCTCGAACCCTTGGGTTTCTGACTCTAGTGCCAGTCGTTTCTTTCCAATGCCATGCTGATTCTTCACTTCCTGTGACTTGCAGCTTTGGTGGGCACTGGGTTGTTCACGATTCTGCAAGGATCAATAGTCTCCTTTGTTGGCAGGTTCATGGAACAGCCCCAGACATTGCTGGGAAGGACATGGCCAATCCCACTGCCCTGCTTCTGAGTGCTGTGATGATGCTTCGGCACATGGGGATGCATGACTACGCAGCAAAGATTGAGACCGCCTGCTTCGCGACAATTAAAGATGGGAAGGTATGTTCTTGATCTGGGCAGCATCCCGCTCACTGCCTCACACCCGTGGCCATTACCAGAGACGAACCGCATCTGAGCAGAGTTAGAGTGTGCCAGAGTTACTGGTACCATCTGGACAGGGGTCTTGTGAGTAGATGTCAAGGAGTTCATAAACTTGGCTGGGAGAAAAGTTGGCACGTTTATGTTCACTGACCTTTATCAGAAATTTAGCAGCACTTCAATCATTTAAAAACATGATTCTAAGAAGGGGTCCTTAGGTTTCGCCAGATTTCTCCATGGGTGCCAGACAACAATCAAGTTTAGGAGTCCCTAATGTGGTGTGTCCTGAACACCAGAGGGTGTGGGCCTTCCCTTGGGCCGTTCTCTCTCCTCTTAGAAAAGTCGCTCACTGCCTGGATTCCCAATAGAGAAACACAACTTAGAAAGAATTCATCCCTTACTCATTGTCAGTTGTGATGGACCATGAGATACCTCCTTGAGAACTCCATTGTGGGTGGACATTGTGGGTGGCTGATGACAAAGGACGGACAGAGAGCTACATCCTCTCTCTGGGTGTGAGTGAGCTCTACCTTTCCTTCCCAGTCTTGGTGTGCATTTCAATAGCCAGTCATTCCAAATGTCTACCACCCAAGTATTAACATGCATGTTAACGCTGTGTTAAGTAGTAAAAATATGTGCAATTGCAAACATCATTTAGTGGAGACTGAAACCACGGCAGATATGGACTTAAATTTTGTTTAGAGCAGAGTTTTCATTTCTTGTCTGTAGTCCCGGGATCAGCAATTTAGAGTTAGAATGGATCTGAGAGAGCAAGTAGTTAGTTCAACTCCTTCACTTTGAGAAGCAGAAACAGTTGAGAAAGTGCAGCAAGGCCTAGCTTTGGAGATTGCCCTGGCCTGCTCTGGGCCGGCCTTGTCCCTGGAGGCTCACTCACCTCCCCTGTGGCCTCTGGGCTTCTGTCCAGCTCTCTGCTCTGCCGACGGTCTGTGACTTGTTTTACAGACCGGGGAGTTGGGGCCCAGAGAAGTTAAACATAATTGTTAAGTAGCCATTTGAACCCAAGCTCTCAGATTCCAAACCCAGCACAGGATTTTATATAAGAATTCATCATGTACAGTTGTGCAGCACAGTCTTTTTAAACTTGGAGAAACTTGGTGGGGAATGCTGTTTGCAGATTGTTTTCAGTTATTTCTACTTCCTGTGAGAGCTGTGGAGAGTGAAGGGGTGTTCCCTCAGTGTGCAGCCTTCTTCCCAGACCTTCACTCCTGCCTGGTCCTCCTTCATGTCCACAGAGGGGCTGTCGTCCTTCTCCCCTCTCCTTCCCCAATTGCCCAGCCCTTCCTGGAGGCCCTGGGCTCGGGACAGCACTGGAGCTCTCCCTGGCAGGCACCCTGTGCCCAGCTTGTCTCCATTTAGGAGAATGAGGATGAGGACGGCTTTTGTGCTGCTTCAGGCCAAGTCATCATTAGTTGTATGTTGCAGGCTGAGTACATCAACAATGTGTTTTTCATTTCAGTTTTAAGCATTTACTAAGCACCGTTCCAGGCACTTTGCTTAGACACCAACGACCAAAGGCAGAGTTTACCTGCGACTCTTGTTTGGATTCTCTCAAGCTCATGCCCTTGTCAGCTTCATCCGAGCAACCAAAGTTATTGCAGCTTAAAGTAAATGAGGGATTCCTGACAAGCCCCTCGAGCCCTGGCTTCCATCATGTGGCCTGTGAGCCCTAACGTGGCCTGCCTGACCCAGGGCACAGCTTGCCAGAGATTTTTCATAAAAACGTATTTTTTCTACCTAACTAGTGAACATACTAGTGGGGCTTAATAACCTGCCTACCGCTGGTATTTGTCAGTTTTGAATTTGTGGTTGAAGCTAAATCTAATTATGTAATTAAATTATATGGCCCACTATTGAAAAACCTTGGAGCCCCAACTATTTAGACGTCCTTTCATGTAAACTTCCTTTCTTACCAAGTGTTCATTGAGCCCCTGGCTGATGTCTCTAGAATAAAGCTTTGAGAACCCTCGAATTGATGCTTTTAAAAGACTGTTCACATCCATTCACTCCTATTTGGTCCTCATACACCCCCGTGAGGTCAGTGTGGTCCCCTCCCACCTGGAAAGGGAGGCAGGTGAGGTGTTGCCTTGCCCAAATGGAATCCTTTTTGTTCTGATTGAGAGTTTTGCTAGAATCACAGAGCTGTGATGCGGGTGGGGAGTGTACCTAGGCACATCTAATTTTCATTTCTCCTTCCTCCCAGAGCTTGACAAAAGATTTGGGAGGAAACGCCAAGTGCTCAGACTTCACGGATGAGATCTGCCGCCGAGTGAAAGACCTTGATTAAAGAAAGCTTCTCCCGTTAGGCACTTGGCAGCAGTCGCTCCTAATGGACATGCTAGAGAAAAATCTATTGTAGACTATCTACCGTCCATCTGCGTTGGGCTTGCATATTTCTTGACAGAGCAAACGTTTTAAATTGGGCCTTTTCTTAACAGGTTCTGTGCCCAGGGATGCAGGTGACCCTCTGGTGCCTGCTTCCGGTGGACTTTTTTTGATGCATTGTTTTATTTATTAAATGTCTCTCTGGTGAAAATGTTTTCTATGTTATAAGGATGGATTCCTGTGTCATTTTCCATTGTTAACCATTTTACACTTCAGTTAGAACAACTTTTTTCCTCAATTGAAAGACTTGCTGTAAATATTAAGATACTGAATTAACAGGAGAAACAGCTAACTTTTTAAAGAAAACCCCTATTTTTCTTGGAGCATGTAAAGTATAATGGAAAAAAACCCAGGATATTAACATAGCACAAGATGAGATTCTTATGAAAATAAACGGGTATAAGAGGAATTTCCTGGGAGAGTCACATCTAAGAGGGTACGGATGATACGTTTTAAAGTGTGTAGTGAGCTAAGAAATTAAGAGATTTGCTGTCCAAAAGACTTATTTGTATGCATGAATAAAGATTGCAAACCCGAGATATATTTAGTCAGAAATGTATTTTTTTTGTCTATAAAACTAGATAATCTATGGAGGACAGATAGTATTCTAATCCACCATGTTATGTGTGGAGGTATTTTTAAGATAGTTTAATATTTCTTCGCTTATGGTAGTGCTTTCGGTGAAGAAAAATGGATGACAGTTCTCTGAATGAAATGTTTATTGTACATTTTGAGTGGGTAAAGCTTTCTGCAGATACTAAATACCTGGAAGTCCTTGCCCCAGAGCTGTCACTGTATTGGATGTGCTGTGTCTTGTGTTTGTAACCGGCACCCTGCTAGTGAGCCAGCTGTCCCCGCTGGAGCAGCTTCTGCCCATGCTCTGGCGCCATTCAAGAGGGAGTGGTTGGCTCTCGGCTGCATTTAGACACCTAGGAGGTTGACTCACTTTTATGTTTGAGCATCTGTTCATTCTCCTACAGGGAACACCAAGTTGTTTCCTCCCCTAAACAAATAACAAAAAACCTCACCTGCCTTTGGCGTAAACTCGAGTGTCCACGGGCTGCGTTGTCATGTACTAACTATCAAAGCCTGCCTTCGTGTCCCTTGTACCATCAAAGGTGGAGGTTAAGCTTCTTGAGGCGCAAGGGCTTGGTTTGATTGGGTGGTCGGGAGGAGCAGTTTTCAATGATCTAACATTAAGTTCCTTTGTTAGGTGAATCCTCCTCGCTGCGTTTTGCTTGGGGCCTGTAGTTGACCAGTTCCTCTCTCAGCTCCCTGAACCTGTGGGAGCAAGATGGCAGCTATTTCCTATCATACCCTCAGTCAGAGTGATCGTGTCTTTGTCTCTCCTCAGCCCGCTGTGAGGGGAGGGGCTCCCTTAGGCTCCTGACCAGGGCTTTAGCTTACTCAAAACGGGCTCTCTCTTATTTATCTTGCTGCTGCTTCGTTTTTGTTGGATTGTGCTAGCTATAAGAGTGCCTGTTGGCTTCAAACATAGCGAAGTAATAAAGATCGTAAAAACTGGTTAAAGACATGTAGAATTTGTCTGCACGTGTTCCCTGTCAAGATGAATTGTCTTTCTAGCACTTTGGGCCTAGCTTGTTCCTAATATCCGCCTAACTAGCGTGGGAGAGTGATCACTGGAGAGGCTACTCAGCCAGGTAACCGGACCATACTTTTTATGTATTCTATTTGTATTTTCTACACTAGCTACCTGCGTTGAATCAAACATTGAGTAGCCACGGTCATTGCTCTTTTTCTCCCTGTGCTTTGGAAGTTACGTACTTTATGCAAAATTTTTCAGATACCCAAGCAAAGTGTAATTTCAGTAGTTTGGAAAATGAGTAACATTCTATCTGGCAGATAATCCTTTCAGAAATACAGAGGAGGCCGCATGAAGATTGGGAAGGATGGACTAGCTGTTATTCACCAACTATGAACGCATTCAGATACTTAGTGCCCTTGAAAACTTTGTTTAGTGTTCAAATTGTACATTTATTTAATTATGACCATTAGGAAGGAGATGTCAGCAGCTTCATTAAGTGCTAGGTCGTAGGCAAGTGCCATAACCATGGTAACAAAAAAACAGTCCTTGATGACTGGCACTTTCAGATCAAGTGCAGGTGGAAAGCCATTATACTTGACAGATAAGCAAATCTGCTCTCCCTGACATTCCATGTGTTAGTCATAAATCACTTCCACAACAGGACAGACAACCTGCCTTTCCTCTATCTGCTGTCTTGATTTGAAGCTCATCAAATCTAACAGGAATTAGAGCCCAAGAAGCCTGAAGATTATCAGGAAGGTGGAAGGGTTAGGCTGGTGCATTTGTTAGGTGCAACAAATATAATCATAGAATTCAAACTAACTATCTACAAGTGAAAGCTTGCCCCTTTATGGTGTTCAGCTGCAGAGGTACATATGGTCTGACAGCTGTGACTAGCCTGGATCTCCATCATTCCTGGAGTTCTAACAGATTTGTTGGAAATTCTTTTTGTGCCCCTGTTTTAAGATGACCTGATTCTCAGGGGAGAACCCAAAGCATCTGTTCAGTAGAGACTATAATAAAAAGCCCCCGATTAATTGTTTGGTTCTTTGTAAAAAGATTCAATTTCTTCTTTGTACTTTTCAAGAACTGCTAAGCGCTTCAGCTTCATTGTAGGACCTGAAAGACAAATCAGAACAAACACTTAAGCCCTAAATGCCAAGTAAAAGATGACAGACCACAGCAGCAGAGTGACCTGGTAGGCAGTAACCAGGGGACCCCGATCTCTCTGATGAGGACAAGATGGGGTAGAGCAAGGATGCTCCTGTAACTGGAACCAAATAGTTTTTAGAACTTGAACAAATTCATCTACACGGTGGAGAGACAAAACAAAACAATTATGCATCTGGCATTGTGTTGTCAGCTTGTCTTAAAGCCTCCTTTGTTTATGCTGGAAAGATCGGGGATAGGATGGAGTCCCCTAGGTGTTCTGGGCCTCACAAGCATTCATTTCCTCATCTCTGACATCCTCAGATGGGAAGGGGGGGAGGGGTAGACTAGAGGATAATCAGTCCCCAGAGTTTGGGGGAGGATCCAATTAAATGAGTTAATATATGTAAAGTGCTTTGTATAAATGGTAGCTATTATTATTGTAGACTTTAGAGCAGAGAAGGAAACAAATTCTCAAACAAATCTAGAATCCAGGAAGAGTGTTAACGTGTCCAAGTTCTCATGGTAAGTAGAGCCAGGTGTCACACTCCAAATCCAGCATACCTGGTATTTTATTTTATTTTATTTTATTTTTTTTGTCTTTTTAGGCAATTGGGGTTAAGTGACTTGCCCAGGGTCACACAGCTAGTAAGTGTCAAGTGTTTGGTCTGAGGCTGGATTCCTTTTATTCTTCCTAATGCTTTGAAGTACATGAAAACTGGGTTTGGAGGTAACCACTGAATCAAAATCTCAGCTGGGATTAGACTCAGTGTCTCATCAAGATCCTTTCTAGTTCATTTCACTTAATTTCTCTGACTTTCAAGGCAGGTTATAGGACTGAGCTGACATAGAGCCAGAAGGACCTGGATTTGAATCCTGGATCTGACACTAATTGTGTGACCTTGAGCAAGTCACTTCTTTCTGAGCCTCAGTTTCCTCATCTGTGAAAAGAGAACAGTAAGTGTTGTACTGCCTGCATATCAGGGAGGTTGTAAGGAAAGAATTTCATAAGCCTTAAAGTGCCATGGAAATAGGAGCTATTGTTATTGAAGGGAATCTCCAGGAGCCCAAGTTTAATTCAATCTGGTCAGGGTTCGGGTTGGACATTAGGGAGTTTCCTAGAATACTGTCTCCTTGTGTTTGTTTTTGCTTATATCAGACAGTGCAGGAGTGCAGATGATTCTTCATCTTCATCCAGTGTTTCAGTGAATGTGAAAAGCTCAGTGAGAGCATATGCACACTAGAGTGAACTAGGATTTGTGCTACCAGAATCGTGGGCTCCAAAAACAACTTGACCTCATTCTGAAGTTAATAAGATGAAATTGTATAGGGATAAATGCAAAATCCCTTGGACCTTTAGGTTCAAAAAAACCAACTTCATAGGTTCAAGATGGAGGGAGATGAAAGCAATTTAGGAAAAGACCTTGGGGTGTTAGTAGTGGCTTGCCAGTCCCATAGAAGTCACCTTTGTGACACAGCAGGCTGTGTAGGAAGGAAGGCAGGGTCAAGTGTGCCACTCCTAAAATTCATGCTTATGTCAATCAAACTTGGCCTTCTTTCCAAGAACCCAGCTTAATCCCTTCCCCAGCCCTAATGGCCACAGCATAGCACAACAAGAGAGAACCTACCAAATTCTCCCCCAGAAATGGAAAAATCCCTTTCCAGGAGGGCCCACTTATGGATGCGGTAAGGTTGGGCAGCAGCTTTCTCGTTGACTTTCCGGATGCCTTCTTCAACTGCCTGGTAAATGGCCTCATCTTTCTTGCCCACTATCTCAGACACTTTTGTGGCTTTGCTGCCAACCTTCTGGCAGAACTCCAGGGCTTCGTCGGTGAGATAATCTGTCGGATCTGAGGTTTCTGGATCTAGAGTGCACTGAAATGCCAATGACTGGAAGGTGAGTGCCAACGTATGCTCCAAAACCCCCAGGCCCCATAATCTCAACAAACACCTTGCTTCTCTGAATAACAATGAAGGAAGATAGGACTCTCTGGCACATTGGTCCCAAATTCCCCAAATTTCCAGACTAGATATCTTAGGATTAGTGTAAGTATATATAGTGGAAGGAGTAAAGGGCTAGGAACCAGGAGACCTGGGTTCTAACCCTGGCTCTACTCTTACATGTAGACTAGTCTACTAACTCTTATGTCACTCTATCCAAGTCTTAGCCTCCATTTCGTCTTCTGTAAAATTAAGGGATTGAGCCAGAGGAAGTATCCTTGACATAGTTGAAAGAGCGTTGGACTTGGGAATTAGGACATCTGGGTCTTGAATCTTATCAATGTCACTTCCTAGCTTCATGTCCCTGGCCAAGACCCACCACCTCTCTGGGGCTCAGTTTCCTCATCTGAAAATAGGAATAGTAACAGGATATTTCCTACCTTACCAGCCTGTTGGAAAATGAAATAATGGTTGTAAAGTTCTTTGCAAGCTATAAAATGCTTTAACAACAACTGGCATTGATATTGCCCTGAGGTTTGCTAGGTGCCTTGCAACTATTATCCCACTGGATGGTCCCAACAACCCTGTGATGTAGATATCATTCCCATTTTATATAGTGCTTTTAAGACTATAAATCTCAGAGGAGGTGCTGACTTACATTGGCAGAGGGAATTTCATCATCTGGAATTCCCCCTATTGATGAAATCTCAGGTCCAAACCCTATCCTTATCCTATATATAAATATAATACAGTGGCTCCCTCTCTATCATAGGTATCATATATAAATATAAATAAACATAATATATAATATAATAATAATAAATATATAATAAATATAAATACATGCAAGTAGATACATGTTGTAAATATAAATATCTCTGATATGACATATAATCACAATGC